TCCAGGCTAGTTTACGTGGGTGCGACGATGCGTGGTCTGAAGCAAAGACTCAAGGAACATAAATACACAATTGATAAGAACCTTGATAACACTGTCTTGGCATCGTACGCAAAGCAACAGGATATAGACGTGCAATGGAATCAAGCATCAATTATAAAAACGACGACTAATAGGCAAACGATCAAACATCTGGAGAGGTTGGAAATCTATAAAGCGCACATGAAAACTGGTTGTATAAACCATAGAGATGCCGACTCATTGTCCACTGTGTGGAGATCCTTCTACAATTATTAATTTTTCACTATTTATTTAGTTTATTTGTTAATTTTTCATTAGTTCGTCCGCTAGGGTGTTTTCCGTTAACTTTTATTTCGAACGCATTTTATGTTCTATATTTACTGTTCTATTTTTGATAACTGACAATGATCGTTGAAAAACGATTGAGAATGTTTTTATTTTATTAAATTTTGCTGGATTTATATCGGTGTAATTTATTTTTCAACTTATTCTACCTCCAGTATGTTTTGGTTATATAATTTACAAGGAGATTTCAAAAAGAAGGAAGACATGAATTACCTATTGCAGAAACCCCTCTATATACAAACTACTATGTAACAATACGGATGAAGTTAACAAATTACAGCTCTCCCTTGATAGTCCAACGTTTTTAATCCGACATGCTCAGTAGTCCGACGCACCTCCCGTCAAGGTACCCGTCCTCGTTACGTGTCTGCTTGCACAGAAGCATGTCGTGACTTGAATCTCCCCATTCAATTCTTACGTGATGACACACATTTCGTGTGTTTTCTGTGAGCAGGTCTGTTCAAACAGTTGGAGTAGGGAATATTGTAAGCTACTGCTAGCAAAACAATGCAAAATATGTAATTATTTTCAGTAATCCAACACCCCTTTGGTCCCATACCTGTCAGACTATTAAGGGAGAGTGTTGGGTCGTTCCCAACTAGCCGATATAATAATTAATTGATTGACACGCTGTATCAATATTATATAAAAACATTTATTCAGAGATAACAATGGCTAACTCCAATTTAAATTTTACTTGGNACCCCTTTGATCCCATACCTGTCAGACTATTAAGGGAGAGTGTTGGGTCGTTCCCAACTAGCCGATATAATAATTAATTGATTGACACGCTGTATCAATATTATATAAAAACATTTATTCAGAGATAACAATGGCTAACTCCAATTTAAATTTTACTTGGGATATAAGCAGTCGAACGAAACGTGGAGTGTAGCTACATGCGGCCAGGAGGTAAGACAGCTAGTCCTGAAGTCTCTCCGGTCTTCCGACCTTCCCACGCTACTGCTCCAGCCCTTTTACTGCTTTACAGAAAGTGGTCAGTGACTAATATATACACATGAAATAGCTCGCAACTGTTACGGCTTAACAAGAAGTAGATCGCGACCGCAACAAAAGCTGTACAGTATAAAATACTTCTTCTTTGGATAACTGTTAAATTTTCAATTATCTATTAATATGTCTCATAACCAAACTTACCATAACAACCACATAGGCATATTATAGCCAATAGGTTTTGAGGCATATTAATAGGCAATTGAAAATTTAACAAATTATGTGTACCAGGGATATACTGCATCCTGGTAGTGAAAATGGATTTAAGTTAGATTTGGAATATGTAGGGTCACGAACTGCTCTTTAGCTACCAGACTAAAAGAGCATTCTTGTATGATAGAAAACAATAAACAGTCATGGTTTTAGCTACTTTTTCTTATGAGAGTCAGGGTTTATCTTGACATACAAAGTGGCAGAGCTGATATATGCCACTTGCAAATAAGGAGTCTGGAAATACTTGAAATCTAAATCAGCAGAGGGACAATTGTATTAATGACAAAGAATCTGCATCCATCTTGTGAAGAACAGGAAGACACTTTACAGCTTCCCATGGCCTCCCTTACATAAGTTTTTCCTTCCTCTGTTGTTAAGTCATGGGCATTGGCTCATACTATTTGTATGTTTATCTTCATTATTTACTTTTTGTATATTTATATTTATGTATTTATTCTTTTTTTGACATGTTATTTGATATCATATAATAATATAATTTACTGACAAAAAAAGTGTGTAAATACTTGTCAACAAAGATTACGTGACTAAGATTTTTTCAGTAGCAAAAGAAAAGAAAACAAACAGATTACAAAACATAAAAACAAACAATAAAGAAAACTGAATCAACATGACTTGATTATGTTTTAATAATTTCTTTTATGTGTGAATATTTTTAAGTATCTGTTTAATTTCTTTGCCTTTAATTGTTTTAATATTTTCTTAGGCCAAGTTCCAAATTTTTATTGAGGTGAATAGCAGTGATTTTTGCCCTATTGTTTGTTATACTTTTGGAGTAGGATTGTTTTGTTTATTGATTAATTATCTTTTGATGTCTCCTTGATTGCAAGAAATATTTATCTAATGGGTGTTCAGGTATATTTAGTTGTAGCCTATATTCATATATGGAAATAAGAATTTTTTTACATAAAGCATGTTTATGCATTAATTTCTTCTGATTTACTTACAAATAAGGTTTTAAAAAGAGGAGTGAATTAAGGAAGTTATATTTGTAATTTATGTAATACATATTTTGATGCATTTCTCTAGAGATTTTCATATGAGAAACTTGCTTTACGATCTTTCCTTTTATACAGACCTGAGGTGGTCTTACTCCCACCTGATTTGTGATTATGTGTTGAAATGCTAATCATTTGTATATCCCATCATATTGTACCTTTTCATGCAAATTTTACTTTTGTTGCGTGCTGCTTTCATGGTATAGCAATTTTAATGGCCAGCAGTGTAGATATTTAGTTTAATTATGATAGTTGTGAAATTTAACACATTACCACTAACGTGATATTGTATTCTTTGTTCAGAATTTTATGCAAACAAACTGTGAAATTTTAAAACTTCACATTTTGTTTGCATAAAATCAAATGAAAATATCTGCAGAAAAAACATCAGACATATTAAATAGGCTTTTTTAAATTTATAGATATATTGTTATACAAACAGTAACAAATACTCAGTGTTTGTGGGAGAAGCTCCTAAACATTGGACATGTCAAATGTAGTTTGAAAGTTTTGTTCAGGAAATTTTGAACTAAAGGGTACAAAATGTACAGGGTGCCCAAAAGCTGTTTACAAAGAGAAATTTCAAGAAGAAATTGTTAAAAATTGACAAATAACTTGTGAACTTGCAACAAATCATAGTATGTCACTGACATGTTGATTGTACTCCACATGCATTAAGTGGGGGAAAAAACTGGATCACACATAATTTTGTCTGACAAAGGTAGGCAGTTCTAAGGTTTCATTTTATTTTTAAATTAATTACTCATTTTTATTATAAAAACTATTTATGGATGACAAAATTAAAATATTTGTTAACTGAAAAGTGGGTCTAGCAGGTTGTGATTGTTCAGTTGAGTACCTAGATACTGTCCAGTACATTACCACTGTATTTGATTAAACCAATTTTGATATCTGAGGAATCATGAAGGGATTAATTAATCTCATTAATCAAGTGATATTTGTAATTAAAAATATAAAAAGTTTTTAATAAAATATTGTAACAGATGGCACCACCAAACTTTTAAATATTGCTGGAAAAGTTAAGTAACTCCTTGCTGGATTTTATTTAATAGTTATAGACAAACATTTTTGGGCAGATTTACAGCCAAAGTTTAGATCAAGCTTTATCACAACATACAAATGCATTTTATTTCAGAACATTATATACTTCTGTGATGCACAAACAATATTTAAAATTTTAGAATATAATTCAAATATATAAAATTAAATAGAAATGTGATATTTGTAAATTACTTACGTTAACAATCAAAAATATCTTATATAAAAATATGGAGGTCAGTAGTAAAGTTATGTTTGGCTATTACATTGACTTTTTTCTTGGGTTGTTATATGATCTTCAAGCAGTTGCTAATTAATCACAACTTATGTGGTTGATGCAATTTTCCTATGTTGATGTTTTAAAAATAAGAACTTCCGATTATCTGATATTCTCTCAGGAAAAGTTCTGTATAGTCAATTTTATTCCCTTTAGTTTCTAATAGCTGTAACTACCAGTTTACTGCTAGTGAAGTGACTTATTTCCTTTTGCAATATAATAATTGTTATTTGACTCTAATCAAAATTGATCTGTTAGTAGGCTTCAGTATAGATTAGGTCATGCCCTAAATCTTTTTACTTGTTGGGATACAATATAACCTCAGTGCTCTGGATAAATTTATGCTGTTTTTACCGTTTTGTAGCAATTGGTATATTGTGTAATTATGTCTGTGAGTGCAAAATGTAGGGGCAAAAATATTTTCTACTTTTGTGAGTTTTCATACTGATGAGTAGCTCACCCAATGTAATTGATCCTTTAAGTGATGATTTTAATCTGTGGTTCCAGTTTGTCATTTGGACTCTGCATTCACATTTGCAACTTTTCCTTACATTGCACATGTTATCAGTTGTACTACTTGTACAGTACCTCCATATGATTTTTGCTTCTGGACTATATTTGGTAGAGACAGCTATAAACATTACTTTCAATGCCAACTGGACTCTTGGCTGGCTTAAGATTTTACAAAACATTTAAAGATTTGATTATTATGAAGTTTGGACTTGATTGTTTTTATAAACAAACAAACCATTATAAATATTTTTTAATACTGTTTTAATAACTTAAATTATTTATTTATTTATTTATTATTTTTTGAAACAATAGAATTAAAAATATCTGGATGAAAAAATAAAACATCTAAATTCATTAGGCCACATACTATAAATTTTGGTAGTCAGAGATTCGATTTGTATACAAAGGAGAGAAAGACATTGTTTTGATATCTACATTATTAAAACTATAAATATTTTGTTACATCATCAGTATGAAGAATAGACAATTTATTTTCATCTTTTCAGTTAATTAAAATTTTTGTAATAGGCCTTTTTTGTTTTCAGGAATTTACATCAGATAGTCCTCAATTAAGTGACAGTGGAGAAGAAATTATGGGTATCTCTGCCAGTAATCATTGCATTCCTGTGTTCTTTGATAAAACAAATGGTGTATTTTTTAACTATCAACCTAAATCACATCAGTGTGACAGTTCGTTAAAACAAAACTTGGCTAGCCCTCTTTTCGATCCTTGTTCTAGCCTCGAGACTTCGTTTCTTCCGAATAAAGTTCAGCATTCGAAACCAAAGTGTTCCCCCAACAGAAATATTTATTTAGGAAATAAAAATGAAAATGTTTGCAGATATAAGTCTAAAATTTCTCAAAATGGAGAAAGCTGTAATGTTGGAGTATTAGAAGAAAATTTCCAGATGGTGTGCAACAGTGATCTTGAAACTGATATTTCCATGTTATCACATTGGGATCAAGATCAAGATATTCTTTCTACCTGTGATTCCTTTTCATTTGATGAAAGTGTAAAATTTCAAGAAACTAGTTCATTAAGAGCAAATTTTAGTCCGGCTTCTCTTCAGGAAAGATATCTAAAAGCAGAGTCTTATTTTTTACATGAAAAAGCTTTAAATAATTTAAAAGTTGGTCAGTTAAGCATTGAAAACAACGAGAAGTCCGGAGTGTTATCGGATTCTCACATTTTGCACATGAAACGAGATGCTTCGTCTGCCGATAGCCTTAGTAATATTTCCGATCAGTTATTTATCAATAATAAACAAGTAAAGAGGTTGTTTCATCAGGATATTTCCATAGATAGTGAAACATCAGATTTTAGTCTTGATATTCAGCCTCAGACGACAGAATTAGGATATCAGACAGTTGGTCAGTTAGAACAGCTCCAAAATCAACTTTGTGAAGTTAAGAAAGCTGTTCAGGAATTAGATAAAGAGTTTGTTGAATTAAAAATTTATGAAATGCCACCTAAGCATAGCTGGGAACTTTCAGCTATATCGCCTTCAGATGTTGATCAATCTTCTGGGAGTGAGAATGAAAAGAATAGTGCATCTGATGTGACGAGGCAAAATTTTGAAGAAATAGTTTCTAAAATATCAAATAATTCCTTATTACTAGAAAAAACTGATAAACCTAGACAAAATAATAAATCCTTTAATTTGGATTTAAATTCTATGCCTTTAGAACCTGATCACTGTTTAAAAAATGTGCCTGTGCCTTCTTTACATCAACCTAACATTGAACGTCATAGTAGTAATCAAACCAATGTTATCTGTACATCTTTTGATGGAACTTCAACAATATTAGAATCTGAAGTAAAACCACAGACTAGAAATTTAGACAGTGGAAGTGATTTTGGAAACTCATTAGAATCTGAGTTAGGAGAAACTTATGAAATTAGAAGATCGTGTAGTTTGGAATGGGATCCAATGTGTCTCCCAGAATATGCAAGTACGTTAGATTATTGTCAATCATTTCCATCACCTACCGATACACTTGCGTCCTTGTCGGAATTTATTCACGATCAAGAAATAGTTTCTCCGTTATCCGAAAGCGAAAGTAAGGATATAAAAGTTTTCCAAGTGGATCATAATAATAGTTTGAAAAAGCGTTGCAGATCACACAGCATTCCTTCTGAAATGTGCACTCAAGAAATTCAAAATTTGGCATTTAAGAAGAATTTACTTAAAAGAAGCATAACTTTACCATATTGTAAGAATGTACAAACAGAAAATGATTCTTTTTATCAAAAACAAATAGCTCACTCTAGTATAATGAGTGAAGACTCACTTCCTCTAAAATATCAATGTGAAAATTCTCTGTACAGTTCAGAAGAAAGTGGTTTTCTAGATACTCAAAGCACAAAAAAGAATGAAACAATTGTAAACGAGACTGATGTTTGTTCTGCTTCATCGAGCGTTCAATCAGATATTTTTAAAGAAAAGACTACTAAATATTTGTTGGAGGATGATAATGGTAATACTTGTTTTATTACTGAAAACCAGTCTACTAGTAGTGTAGATCCAACGAATGCAAGTATAAATAGAGATTCGGCATATTGTGAAGAAAGTTTCGTAGATAATTATTTAATAAAAAATATTGGGCATAAACAAAATTTAGTTGAATATAGTTTTCTTACATGGAAAGGAGAAACTTTGAAAAATAAACAAATTAGAAAGGTTAGAAAATTTAATAATTATTTGGCTTAAATACAACCATTTCTATTTATAGTAAAGTACCTGAAGTTTTACACAGTTTTTATTATTCAGAATTTTTGAATTCATAGAATAACAGTTTTATCTAAAAATATAGTTTTCAGTTGAGAATTAATAGTCTTGATTTATTTTTAATGTAATCTGTAGTAACACATTTTTCACAATACAGAACAAAAATTTTCATTCCTGTATCAAATTAATGATATGATGTAAAATATTGTATAAATTATAATGTTACAAACTTCAGGCACCTTGCTGTAACTTTAATTATCTTTTACTTTGTCAGAGATGATATTTTTTTAATGTTGTGTATTTAAAGATATTATTTTAAAATAACTGAAAAGTTTTCAAATTTATATACGTATGTATGTATGTATGTGGAAGTAGAGAGTAAAGATGATTACCATCTTATGAAACAAGTATGTTTGCTTTTTTGATGTTTATTGTTAAGGATGGGACAATTATCAAGTTAACCGATTAATGATTATTAATTGGGATTGTACAATAGTTTAATCATTAACTAATGGTGGTCAAGTATTTTTTAAATATTTTATAAAATTTCAATTTGTTTAAATTTTAGTTTTTATACAGTTATTTTTAGTTTTAACTTTTTGTAACAATTGTTTTGCTTGATATCTGCCAATTATTTATATAAATATTTATTATTTATTTATGATTTAAAGTTGTATGAAAATGTTGAAAAATAAATTACATAAAATTGTCTTAATTAAGTTGTATTAGTACACCTACTATAAATTTTGGTAGTCAGAGATTCGATTTGTATACAAAGGAGAGAAAGACATTGTTTTGTTGTTTTCTTCCCCTTATTACCTCTGATTAGTAAGAAACATCATAATCACTATTGGTTTATTTGGTATACTGGCAAGTAAATAACATGATTGCACCACTGTAAAAAAAACGAATTAGTATGATTTTATGTTTACATAAGAAAAGAAATAAGGATTTATTTTACTTAGCATCTTGTCAACATTGCATTGTAATGAGGCTGCTTGATTAGTATCTAAACTAATTTCAATAAGTTACTTTGGTTAAGAAAATAGTTCAGATAAAATATTCCTGTGTATGTAAAGTTATTTTACAGCAAAGCTGTGTTAATAAAGCCCATAATTAAGCTTTTTTATACAAGTTTTTAGAAATTTATTTTGAAATATGATGATTATATTACAGTAGAGCATAGATTATCCGAAATAATTTGCGACTGGGGTTGTTCTGATAATTGATTTTTCGGATAACTGATCATTTACGAAAAATATATATAGTACGTGTCTTACAAATACATACCTTACATAAAGTAGTACATTAAAGTAGGCCTACAGTTTAGATTGGCATAGTTAGGTCATAAAATTATTTAGTGTAATGTCTATTATGAACAAATGGTGTTGTTTCATCAAATATGCACAGAGATATTAATGTCTAATGAGTTGGGTGTGAATGAATTTCCTAATTTAAAAGGAGAATATTAGTATATTAATAAAACAGTATATTGTATCAAATAACTTAAACTGGTATTTATTTTGTACTCATTAGTTCCTCCTTAGTCTGTTTTGTTACTCTATACACCTATATTTTAAAACTTAGCGTTATTTCTTCATAACATAATTTAAAGAACAGAAGAAAAAACGTGTTATGAACAGTGCAGAATTAAGCTAATTTTGGTTAAAAAAAACTGAAAACTTTTATTTTTGTTAGTGAGTATGCCTGTACAATAAAAGCATCACAGTATCATGTAGCCCAGTATAGTGAACTGCAGGCCTGCTGAACTGTGAATACTGTATTTTTATATACTACAATAAATCAAGAATACTCGGGTATTTTCTAAGTAATAAAATAAAAAATATTTGAAAGGTAATAAATTAAATAATAAAGTTTATGTATTAAATATTTCATACACACATGTGCTATATTAAAAACTTAATAAAAAATGATAGAATATTGAATGAATGATTGATTGATTGATGAACACTTAACACAATTTACAAATACAATTAGGCTAATGAGAAAACATAGTATAATACTTTTTTAACATTTTTTAACCATTTCATATTAGTATTTTGCAGTGGCGTGCCATCCACGAAAACTGTGGAAACACTGCCCCTTGTATTTTCTAAAATATACATACATGTTGTGCAGTTATTTTCATATTTTAACGTACTTTGAATTACTTAAAATTAATATTTTATTATAACTGCATTATGTATCTTATTACAAATTTCTATATGTATGAAAAACAACGATAAAATTGCTATTTTATATTCAAATATAAATTCTTATATGCATATTTCCAATGAAAGCACCGTGTTGTCGAATACGAGATAGCTTCCACAGCGAAAATATTTGAATCGTGTAAAACAGCCAGATTATACACATTCCTGCATGCGTTTTACAGAGCACCAACCTCACGCAGTTTTATCTCGTGGATGATACACACCAAAATATTTTATAACACTTCTAATGATGCTATCCAGGGCTGGCACAGCTTCCCTATCATCAAATGTCACCGCATGCCACTAATATTTCGTATGAAGTTTATGAACATTGAACAAACAATCAAGCATTGTAGAGAATAGTAGAAAAGTAGTGAAAATGAAATGCATAAAAAGCATTGCTTTTAAATGTTTTAATTATAATATTTACTTTTTACTTGAAGGTTTGCATTTAACTTTTACAATCAAAATTCAAAACACAGTATTAACAAAAAATGATAAAATTTAAGTTACTAAATAAAAACAAATATATAAAGTTATAATTGGTTTTAAACATGTAGTTTAATATCTTTGCTACATACTTAGAGCTCTCAACTATCTGCTTTCTGTGCAGACGGTCCACTTTTTAATTAAGGATATTGTCGTATGTCTGTTGTGTTTGGCATTTGTCCATTTTTATGCCAATGATTCCAATTATCAACTTTTTATTTTACACTTTGTTTTAATAATAATATTTTTTCAAGCAAACTGAGAATGGCTGATGGCTGCCTAAGTTACTTTTCTCAAATTTCTGTCTAGCATGGAAGATGATGACGCTGGTAATTTTGAAAATTGTTCTCCAAAAGAGGGTAGATTCATAATGGGCAAAGGTTAAAATTCCAAATTATGCAAAATAGAAATTGCATTACTATGGCTTAGTAATGCTTGAGAGGAGAGGATCCTAAGCATTATAAAAAAAAACAAAACTGATGTCAGAAATTGTTTTCAGAATAATGGGATGTCTGATTGCTTGTAAGTTGCAATGGTTTTCAAGCAATACTAAATGCCATGAACTATAGACTGATTCTGATCTTTTCAAGAAAGCAAAGGCTGCCACTAGAAGTTATAATGACTACCATTGTAAAAAAAAATTCTTTTAATCCAAAATACACCCAGCCTGTTGTATATCTGGACTATACTGTTGTATATATCTATAAATATAATGTACTGTACACTTATTGTAACTTTACCCCTTTTGAACATTAACAAATTTTTATGACTCAACATTAAATCTCTATATAATAGAATTTATTTGATAAAAGTTTTTTAATATTTTCCCCTAAAACATAAAAAACAAAAATAACAGCAACTAAAAATATGAAATTAAAAATTTACTTGTGAAATTTTATCTTTTTATTTTATTATAAATTCAAAAATTATCATTTTGAATTGTCCTGCATTTTTGAGAAAACTTGCAAAATCCAAAGTCAATTTTTGAGAGTTGTCTCATTTTTACTTTAAGAAATTTTCTGAAGTAGTTGGACAGTTTTCTTTTGACAAATATATAATAGCTTTTCCAATTTACAGTACATTTAATGATTTGATTTAAAACCTCAACCTACAGAAGATTTGCTACAAATTACACAAAATGATAGATGCTCACTATTAACTGTTTTATACAGAAATTTATATTTTAAAAGTTACGCAACATGTTTCTGTTTTCTTACAATATTGTTTTTGGGTAATTTCTTTTTACATACACTAATTCACTAAAATTTTTGTTGTTGTTTGTTTTTATTGTTGTTTTTCAATATTCTTCAACTGAATGTTGTCTATTTTTTTTTTTTTTTGTTTGTTTTTGCTGTCAAACAAAGCCAAAGAAGGAATATATACTTTTTCAAGATTTTTTTAAGCAGAGGAATAATGTTTATGAAAAAATGTTTGTGCAACTACACAAGAAGAATTGGTGACCAAATATAGAGTTGAGACCCCAAGTGGGTCTCAACTCGTTCTATGCTGTACTGTATTAGTATAAGAAATGATAAAACATCCAAAATGGATGTGATAAAATAATTTTATATCATATTTAACCATTTATTTTACTGTTTCTCTACATTTTACAAGGGCGTACCCAGGATCTGATCTAGAGGGGGGCAGCTCTTATTAGTTTCAAGGAAGTGGGGAGGGAGAGTGAAACATGACGATTTCTTATAAAATATACAAAATAACTCAAAATTATTGAAAAACTGTTATTATTATTCATTAATTAACATACTAATGCTACATGCTACCACTTTATACAGGGCCTACTACCTACCATGTAGTTAACTGAATTAGATTTTTATGTTAGCAATAATCTTCTTGGATTTACCAAACATTTTTCTGTAACTTTCTTTTCCACCATCTCACGGTGTTCTTTCACAAAATTCCGATGCACGCTCGTCAGGCATAATGCAGTCGGTCTTCCCTCTCCCATAGTCCTCCTAAGCAAGGTCTTCACTCTTTGAAGCTTACTGAAAGATCGTTTTATGGTTGCCATAGTGCATGGAATAGTGCTCAGAATTGTGAATGATTTTCACATGGAAGAAAAAATATATGTTTTGTTAAACAGGTCAATGACTTCTATAAGGAAGAAATATTCTCGAGCATTATATTTTAATGCTCAAGCCACAAACTCAATCTTGTGGTGAATGATGCAAACGAGGTACTGGAAATTAGAAATATTACTTCCACTGTAATGGATACAATAAACTTTTTTAGGGAATCAACTGCTCGTAAGAATTACACTCCATATCTATCACGAATGTGTGAAACAAGATGGTCGGAGAAATATAAATAGATTTGAAAATTTTGTCAAAATTTCCCAGAGCTTGTGAAAGCGCTAGTAAAATTATCCATGGAGGGAAATTATGTCACAAGAAAATCTGCATACCAGTTGCATTCAGCGGTTACAAAACCATTGTTTATCGTTGCTCTAATTACTATAGCAAATACTTAGCAGTGTTGGAACCAGTAGTTAATACCTTGCAAGCAAAGACCGTGGATTTAATCACAGTGGAAGAATACATTACAGGAATCCTCGACATACTTAAAAGCAACTGTAAGGACGCAGATCAAATCACTGGCAAATTACTTAAAAAAGCACAAGACATGACAACGGAATTGGAAATAGAAATTTGTGTTCTACGTCTTGCTCATAAGCAAAAACACAGGAGCAATCCGCCATCAGACAATGACTATGAATACTAGCAATGTTCTGTAATTACTGCATACTTACATATCAGGATTCGCTTACATTGTTAAGTATTCGATTTTCTCAAGAAAAACCCTAGCCTTTGCATTAACAAAACTACACTTTTTATACATGGCCAAAATGAGTATCACAGATTTACGCAAGAACACAGAACTATTTACAAATTTTTGAGTTGGATGATGTCACTGGAGAACTGGACCTTAAAATCGCTTGTACACCACCCTCTTTGCCCACCATTGTAGAGCAGCTGTCAAAACCAAATCCAATGCAATATTCTGGTGGAAGATTATAAACTAACCATAAAATTGTCAATTGCTTTTGCAATTGATGAGGCATCTTGTGCTTTTAGTTCCACAAAACCTACAAATTCTTCTTATATTTTTCCTTTGCTTTCATTGTAGAGTAGCAAGCCAATTGATACTAAATTGATACATCTGTACTGTGTGTCTGTATGTCAATTACAATTCTTCAAGGGAGAGGCAGCTGCCCTCCCCTGCCCCTCACTGGGTATGCCCTTGACACCTTGCACTAAAGAATTTCATCAAAATGATCAAAACCACTATATTTCAATTAAAATTTTGGCTGTCAGCTTTTTTATCTATGATGTCGGCTTTTATCAAAATCCCAGGTGGAGAGTTTTGCACTTATTTCTTTAAATATCTAAACACTGCCATTAGCTAGGTTGCTTTTTTGGTTCAAAGTTCATTTCTTTGTTTGGATTAAATGAGCTGAAAGGACCAAAAAAAGTCATTCAATTCTGGCTGATGAAGCTGCAGCTGGGTAACAAGAGCAATGGTTTCTGGATCCAGGCATTACAACGAAAACCACAGTTCAGAGGCTTGATAGATATAGCAAGGACAAAGAGAGAATTTTTGAAAGACCCTATTTGACAGATAAGCTTGATAAAATATTGGGCATGGATTAGAAAAGAAAATTACTGGTGTATTTTAAGGCCTAATCAATCTGCTTGATGGATAGTTTTCACCAGTAAACTGGAACAAGCAGGTTTGCTACAAAATGAGCAACAGAAATAGCTCATCTCCTTCAACTTTGAAAATTGAGATGCATATTTTCACTTTTTTTCCTTTTCTGACAATTGGGTAGTTCACAATTGAGAAACTTTTCAAATTTATTTTTCCACAACTTGCCTACACCAATATGATGATATGCTGTTAGCTGTAATTATTATTTAAGTAATTATTTTTTAGTTTTGTAAAAATCATAAATACAGAATATTAAAAAAACAAAAAATCAAAGTTTAAAATGAAAAAGAAACAGTGTCTACTTTTTGTTTTAAAATATAACATTTTAAAAAATTGAAGACCAAATACATGTGATGAATTAGAGAAATCACATGTATTTACATAGCAATAAAAAGCACTTATAATGCTGAACTCAATGAACTCTGTCCTACAAAATACAAATAAAAAAATTTGATGTCTTCACACATCCTTCACAACCATAAGAACATAAATAACATGGGTAGAATCAACCTTTCCTTTGAGGCTCTTCTCTGCTTACAAATATGTAAATTGATTAAAAATTGCTCTGCAAAGAAGAGCCTGAAAAGAAAGGTTGACTCTGCTCGTGTTATTTATGTTCCTGTGGTTGTGAAGGATGTGTGAAGACTTCAACATTTTTATTTTTTTTTAGTCCAATTTCTTTTCAAAAGACTGCTTCTTTGTAACCTTGATGCATGGCTTAATAATAGCATTTTTATAGCTCTTAGGCTAAATCTACTGGAGCCATAAAAAGGCATATGAGTTCTCAGTTCAGGCTGCACTGGCTTTGCTTTTACGTTTTCACAGCAAAAAATCATTTTCACCTCTATCATGATGAGCCTTTCTGATGACCTACCTCTCCAGTAAAGAATGAACCAATACTTTTTTCTGCACATCAATGCTGGGTGGTTAATTTTCATTCCCTTGTTTTTGTTTTCTTCATCTTTGGTAAGTTTTTAATTGTATTTTTCTAGTATGGGGCCTTTTTCTGAATGCAATAGGTTCACCATAACAGTTCAAGCTTCAAGGTGTCAAAAATATAGTTTTTGCCACTGCATATATATGATGTGATAAGAACGGATTCAAAATAATCATCAGTGTATATTGATTAATTTTTTTTGCAATATTTTAGGGCTATGAAGAAATAGCAGAAGCTTTTGGTTTCAAATATCTTCGTGTGATTCATAAAGATGATTATTGTGCAATTAGAGCGGCCCTCTTCCAAGTTTTATCTCAAGGTCTTCCAGTTTTGAATCATCATAATTCTGCAAAACTGATATATCAGGTATTAATGTTTAGATAAGTAAAACTTTAAAACATTATTTTAATTTTACTGTTACTAATGTTTAAAATTTTTAACTCTGTGTTATGGTATAAAAATCAGTTTTTCACTGGTTGATCATGTATGCACAAATTATATTTGATATTAGTATATGTATGTAGCCTATACAGAATATGAGATAAATCAAAATTTTTTGCATTTCTACCCTGTCTTAATACAAAACAATGCAATTTGCAATATTAACCTTCTCAATTTAGCTTTTAGCCAAAGTATGAACAATAGCCTACACATCTTATAAAAATCTAATATCATCAACTATCTTAATCCTCAGCCATGACAGCTTTTAACACCACTTTACCAATTGTCAGTAACAATATTGTAATTTATAATTAAAAGAAACCCTTCATTATGACAGCTTAATTTTATTGTCTCTTGTTCTTTCTTTTTGAAAAACATACACATGTACTAATATCTTAAGGGATTAATTAATATCTTTTGCATTTATATAATACATCAAAATTGTATAGTAAAATTTCACAATAAAACATTTACTGCACTTTGGTTTTATAGTCAAAATTCCTTGAAATAGTATGGATTGTAGATAGGTTTTTGTGCACACACAAAAATTACTGTCTTTATGCATAGTAAATCACTAATGCTATCTGGTAATTTTTTGGAATTATTATGAATAATAACACTTTTACAGCACTCTTGCTCTGCAGCCAACACTCCCTTAAGTAGTATGTTTTTATTAGGCTCCTTCTTCACATTTTACAGTATAATACATTTTACATCTCTCATTGTTAGTTCTTAGGCCTCTTAGGCCTCTTAGTGCTCTCAGAGCAGGAAGAGGCCTTTTCTACAGAACTGCAAAAAAACAACAAAAAAAATACAGCATATGAGAAAATGTTTTTTAAGAAAGTGGGAGGAAAGTATTAATGTAGGGATAGGAGAGTGCAAGACTTCAATTCCAAGTTTGAATCAAAAGTGAAGAGACTGCTATTTGTTTGTTCCCATAGCAACTATTCTTTAAGTTTGATTTTTGGATAATAACCTTTGGTTATATACCGAATATGCCTTTTCACCCACCCACTGGGACGATTGGACCTTCATTTCAATGTCATAACTGTAAACCCATGATTCACCACCTGTTATGATCCTTGACAAGAAGTTTTCATCTTTTTTCTGAATGATCAAGTAGTTCCTGACAAACCTGGGCGCGATTGGCTTTTTGGCCATCCGTCATCAGGTGTGGCACAAATTTCGCAGCAATGCAGTGCATCTTCAATTTTTCGGTCAAAATTTTGTAACAAGATCCAACTGATACCCCACACTCTTTCAGCCAAGCTCCCTGATGGTCAGATGTCGATTTGCCCGCATCAGGGTGTTGATTTTGTCGACGTGTAGGTCGTCAGTTGACGTGGAAGGATGACCAGGATGCTCATTGTCTTCAATCGACTGTCGACCACCCTTAAGCGTTCGTGCCACTTGAAACATGTCGTATACTTCATAGCAACATCACCTTAAGCTGTGTTGAGCATAGCAAATGTTTCAGTCGCAGATTTTCAAGTTTAACACAAAATTTCACAGCAAGTTGCTCCATCGGGTTATTCATTTTGAAATTCAACAAACAAAAAAATCTCACTTCACTAAATAAATATATCTGTAATCGGAAAACGGCTTTATCACCAGACGATCTGTGCAAACCTAGTAACACCAAGCATATTCTTCTGGAATCGACTGAAGCCGCACAATTCAAACAGTCCGCGTATTTTTTTGAACAGACCTCATATAATTAAACTTAAACATGCAATTAATGTTATTATGAGGCTGCAAATATAAATAACAATTTTAATTTTATTCATGATTTATAATGTTTTACATGAATGAACAAGTATGACGACAACAAAATTCTAATCCTTAGAAGGATTACAATTTTGTATATTGGTGCTCTTTGAGCCTTGCTTTCAGGTTCTGCATGATGACTCTCATACACATACACTTTCATTGAAAATGGTGATTCTCCAGTGGGATGGAGTAGATTCCAGTGCACCAGAATGATTTTCTTTCGGTTCATCATTTCTGAATATACTAAACATTGTAGGAATGTGTTTATAGTAGTGATGTAACGAATATTCGGTTACTATTCAGTATTCGGCCTATTTTTTGCTATTTGGCCGAATACTGAATATTTAATCACTATTTGGCCGAATACAGAATATCTAAAAACAGGAGTAAGAAATAACAAAAACACAGTAACTTAATCATTTTGGTATTTAGATTTAATGTTATCAGGTTAGTGTTGTTTGTTTATATTTATTTATAACTTATAACGTGCACAAAATAAAAAAAAATAATAATATTAGTCACATGTATTTACAATTTATAATTACAAATATCAGCACACGTACACACCTATTCATTCGAGAATCGTCACACATATCTGAAGGTCTGACCCTGCCTATCCTTTTTAAGTGCTCGTCTTTGCTCTTTCCTTTCTCTTTCCTCCATCTCTCTAGTCCACATATGCCTATGCATACATCATAATACACGCTCACGATACTTTCGATTCGTCACTTTTCCATCGTAGATTTTCCATTTTATAATTACGTGACTCATAGCCTGGTGATAACGGAGAAAAGAGACAGATAGGATGTCGGTATATGTCACACTTATGATTTCACAGATTCGAGACAGCTTGATAGCCCGAATGGTCCCAGGCTTTCGCCCGTGCACGCTAAGTGACTTTCATTACAAGCATTTAGCTTTCCGAAGTCTATGACAACACTTGTTTGGCATTGACGGCCACAAATTTCGCGCCAATAAGCTGCTTCGAGTTGTTCGATTATGCTATCAACTCAATATCATATTTATTTTCACATTTTCACTTCGCGGTCTTTCTCTGTTCTTTTTCTGTTATTTACACGTGTAGGTCATTTCATTGTTATTCACATTTGATATCATCATTTATCACATACTGCCATGACGCTCTTGTCTGTTCACTACAACTGTCAAGAATTAATGTGATTTGCGAAGCGTAGTGACAGTGGGCCAATGGAGAGCAGGCCCTTGCTATAATGCGGTTTGCGCGCCAATTTTTGTATGTGCGTTAATTGAGCCGAATAGTTTGGCCGAATATTCGGCTATTCAGCTACGCTCCTGGCCGAATATTCGGTATTCGGCCTGAGGCTGAATATACTATTCGTTGCAACACTAGTTTGTAGGCTACTCTTATTATGGCAACCATCATGAATTTTTTTCGGGTGTGGAAAAGTAATTTACCGTGCACCTCCTTAAAGTATTTTGTTGTGAGGATGCATTTGTTGTCTGATCATATGCCAAAATTAGATTATGTATTGTTGTTATTGGATAACTATACTGTTTTTTGCAAGTTTATTGATATGTTCTAATTCCTTTCTGGTGAACAGTCTGACACTTGTACAGTTCACATATGCTCTTCTACTGTATTTGAATATTATTTTTACATTTAAATTTTATAATGTGTTCATTGTAATTTGTATTTTGTTTTCTTTTAATTTTAAAATGCTAGTTTTGTATTCAATTTGCTAGTTTGTTCCAGTTCTGCAGATTCTGAGAAAGATCTATAAATAGGTTAAATGTTTTTATTGTATTAATCCCTTTGCTGGAAGTCAATAAATTGTTTGTGTATATCAATGTAGAGATAGTGTTTTATTTTAACTTTATATAATTTATGATATTTTGTAAAGATTATTTAAAATTTTAAAAAATAATCTAAAAATTATAAATTAGAATAATACTAAAAACTAACATTTTCTGTCACTAAAGTTTTTTTTTATTTCCTACCTTATATGAGACAAACTATTTTCCTTAACCCAAGTACTTTCAACAGGCCTTTCAGCCCATCATCAGGGAAGAAAATTATTGAAAAAGTTTGAACTTAAAGGTTTGAAAACCCCTTCAAATTCTAGTATTTAAAAATTCATAATCACAAATTTTTGACAAGACTATGTCTTGTCGTATATCGTGCTGCTGTAAACAGCTGGACATCTTAGAGGTTTGAAGGAGTACATGTCATGAGCTGCAATTTGGCACAGAAATCATGCATGCATAAAACATACCAGACTTGTAAGTAGTCAGGGGACCGAGAACCAAGTCAAAATAAAATACAAAATGGCGACACTCTTTCTACAAACAGGCGCTAGTGCGAGATTTGTGCACGTGTTGCTTGTTGGGAAGTTGGAAATGTGAACATTGCAAAATCAAATTTTGACAAACAAATCTTTGAAAAAACCCATTTACCTGTCCCGTGTTATTCCCGACATATCTCTGGTTGTGACCTGCTGACCTTGACCAGTTGACCCGAGATATCTCATTTCAGCATCGGAATGTTTTTGAAACTAGATAGCGCTAGTCGTTATAATGTTATATTAAAAGTAACTTGCAAAATCTAATTTTTTTTTCTGTTTTTACATTTATTAATATATTTATTTTGTTTGTACAAAATAAAAAAATAATTTTGGACAATACAGTAGCCACGATTATTTTTTTCAAAAATGGGAAATTTTCATTAGACATCCACAAAAATTCAACCCAGGGAGACATGCAACAGAGAGAAATTTCAACATTGGATAGGTTAATTTCACTGAAAATGCCTTGTGATCGTGGCTGTGGCCGAGGCCAGCAAAGTTTGAATGATTGCGCTCAAAACCAGTGATACCAAAGAAGATTGCAGAATGATGAGAACAAGACCCGCCATGAGTGTTGAAGTGATCCCGCTTAGTAGTGAGTCTCTGAGACATAGTTTCAACATGACACACAGAGGCTGACATTTTACCCGGCATGGTGTGTATATACAGTCGACCCCCCAATAACACTGTTGATTATTCCGTTTTATATGAATTTCTTGTTGCACGAGTCACTTAGATTTTACAAATACATGAGCTGTTCACAGCCCAGCACACATAATTTGTAAAATCTAAGTGACTTGTACAACATGGAATTCATATAACACGGAATTATCAACAGTGTTATAGGGGGGTGGACTATATATATATATATAAACAACATCATTCCAATAACCTGATGTATTAATAATCAACCAACCAACATCTGAAATAATCAGCAGAAATTATCTTACAAATATTATTTTTAGAAAATACATGATAAGAACAACTAGAGGTAGATGTTAGGCACCATCTCTTAACTAAAGTAGAAACTATAATTTAATTTTAAATTTAGATTAAATTGGAAGAAAAGAACTGGACGGAAGCGGGACTCTAACCCGCAACTCTCGCTTGCCATGTGGATGCATTTCCAATTACACTACTTGAATCTCCAGTCTGATCTCCTCTTCCTGTACATTTAACATTACAAATTTAATTAAAATATAATTATTAAATTTATTATGAGTTGTCACCTAACCTTACTGATGAATTTGACCAAAGAGGGAGCTCTTTGGTCAAATTCATCAGTAATTTATAATTATTAAAACCGATATTTAGCTTAATGTCATATGGCAGTGGTTGTTGCTTTAACAAAGGGATTCCCATGTTTTACAATTCTGTTAGCAGGCACAACTAAGAACTACAAAATCCTTACAACTAACTTAAACTAACTTACAGCTATACAGACAAAATGGAAAATTAAAACAGATGAAGAAAAGGGATACCCATACTCTGTTGAATCCTTTTTACAGAGATGATTACATTCAATGATTTTCAATGATTCCTTATTAGTCTTTTTTTTTTTTTTTTTCCTTTTTCTTTTTCTTTCTTGGGGAGGTTGATATATCCATTTGGTGGGGATCAAAGAAGTGTCTCTTTACCAATGATTAACTGATGTCTCAGGATTCTTATTGTACAAAGCTTTCAAGAACTTCACTCCCTTGCCACAGTCAGGATCAAACTCCTCTCGCCACTCTCTCCTTCCGTATGCCTTCCTCCCCATCCAAACAAATGTTTCCTCTACCCTTTTAGCCCCTCAGGCAATTTTTCTTTTCCCTACAGGACAGTTCAGAACAACAATCATCAACCAAATGAAGTGGAAGTGAGGACGAGAAGATTGCAGATGCGGGAAGGGACAAAAAGCTAAGACAGAAGCTAAAAACTATAATATTTTAACTTAAAATTATGGCATACAGCCACAGTTCTCAGAACTATCATTTGCAGAAAATGTATTGTTTCACATTCTCTATGTTGCAATGCTGTTTACTTTCTCAATATCTTAACCATATTACTGAATTTTACCAGATTATTTTATATTGTTTTGTTTGTAGGAAAATTTTTATGATTCTATGCAAATACATGTTTCACATTCTCTATGTTGCAATGCTGTTTACTTTCTCAATATCTTAACCATATTACTGAATTTTACCAGACTATTTTATATTGTTTTGTTTGTAATTTGTATTGTATTTTATATTTATTCGTAATTAATAGATAATAACAGACTACTCGTAGTATCTTATATCAGTATCTTAAATCGAAAGATATTTTATATCATTTTAGATATATTGTGTTTCTTCGGTATATCTACAAAACGAACAATTTTTAAATTTTTAAACCCTAAAGGAACTAAAACTTTTCCGTTTTTGATTCAAGGTGGATTTTTCACTTTAAATCTAGGACCAAAAACACCATCTTTGCGATATGAATGCCTACTTTATTATCTCCCACGAATTTTAATTTTTTTTCTGCCTGAAGCGCAAATTCCGAATTTTTTCCGAACGCGTTACATGATAAATTTATTGGTGTGCAATGTTTCGAAATGCGCTGCCATTTTGTGTAAAGATGCTAAGAATTTTGGATTTACTTATCTAAACTAGGACATGGTGTCTAGATTTCTTACATATTGCACAGTGTAATGGCAATTTTTTATATAATTAACAGCGCAAAACTGAAAACAGAAGAGCAAAAAAAAGTGCCAAAACATATAATACGTGATATCGATTGGTGCCTTCTGTTATATTCATGGAATGAATAATAAAATGGAACGAAAGATGAAGCAAGAAGTCGGCAGGAAAAAATTCTTCCATTACAATAATGAGAATTTTATCGTTGCATCATCAAATTACTTTACTTCATTTATGTTATTTTTTATTTAAAACGATTGAAGATAATCATCACTTGTAATTGAAATGCGTGTTTGTCAACTTCAAAGTGAAAAATTGTNAAGGTGGCAACTCGTCATTCTTACCCAGAAACTTCAAAGATGGATTGATGGAACATATCCTTGGTTGACAGAATGGGATTTTGGAGAAAATTTATCATATACTGGAAGCGAATGTATGCAAGGTTTCTATAATTGTCTTCATGTTTTACAAAGTGTGGTAAGAGTAAAAACTTTTTGTGTGTTTGTACTTATTACATATACAGTACTTACTATTTATCGGTATTTAACGTGAGAATTTGGTACCATGAGCACCAATCAATATTTATAAGAAACTATTCTTATTGAGATTGAAATTCCCATGCATTTCATTTAGATAGTTGGTAGATTTTGGTTTGCATTTTCCTAAGGTCTTCTTCCAGTGTTTCTTTGATTTCTTGTCTGCATTTTCTTTATTTATTGACATTTTGTTTTCATTTGCTAGGGGTAGTGATATTTATTCTAATGCAATTGCAAAGTATAGTGAATCATACCTCTGCATTACAGATATTTCTATTGGTAAATACAATTTAATTAACTTAAAAACTTTATTTTGCTGCTTTCCTGCTTGTTTATTGTTTTAACTAACATTTATTTTCTTACCATTAAATAAAGAAATGTCTGATAACTTATGTGTTTACATCCCTCTTATTTCATATCAGTTCCTTTTATATCAGTGCATTATATAAGTGGAAGAGTTGATCAATTTTGATCAACACTTCTATTTATTTTATTTCATTTAGAATTAGAATTGATGTATGGATATTGTGTTGTAGCACTATAATATTGTTTGCAGACACAACTAAAGTGATTAGATTATACTGGAATGAGGAACAAATTTAAACCATAAGAGATTAATGGATAAGCTTGTCCCTTTTTTCAATATTTCAATTTACAATGTGTTTAGGAAGAAATGAATAATTTAAAAGCATAAATAATTTGTATGGTAAAAATAGAAATTTACTTGCTTTTTCAGGCAACCGAATGTTTTATTATATGTAAAAACGTTTTTGACCTTTTCAGTTACAAAACTCTTGCAATGAAATTCAGAAAAGGCAATATGAATATTTATTTTTATGATATGGTGCCACAAATTTTGTAATTGAAACCTTGGATTATTTCCCAAGAAGTGAAACACAGCTTGTCAAAAGCATTATTTTATCTTAATTTTCAATTTAGCTTAAGCTACCATGAATAATATTTTTATTTTGGTGTTATTCACTTGGAAAAACATAAGAAAGCCATTTTAAAAAAATTAAACAAGATTGATTATTATAAATTTTTTACATATTATAAATATACATACAAAGATATAGTAAAATATTTAAGTTAAAGTGATTTCTAAGTTAATGTATATATATTAGAGACAGACATTTTATATATCAAAGCCTAATATTTTATTCACATTAATAAAATTGTTCAAATAACAATTCTGAATTGAAGCCGTCGATTCAAAATGGGCCAACATCCATGAAACCTAATTTTTCAGAAACTAAAAATACTGAATTGTAAGAGCACATTGAAAGCAATGTTCCTTCTAATTTTTTTGTAGATGAGCAGAGCATATACTTCTCTGAGCGAAAAAAAATTTTCCTGAGCATATATATATATATACACTGGACGACAAAAAAAATAACGCACCATGAAGGACTTGTTGGATTTGAATAAAAATTGGTATATGACATCATCATAGCTAGACAGGTATATGATTGCAACCATAAAACAAAAACATACTTTATTGTTCAGTAATATACAATACAGTGCAGGCGCTAATATCCTGTTGGGCCGCCTCTAGCACGGATACAAGCTGTGATACGCCTTGGCATGGAGGCATAGAGGTCACGAATAATGTTCTGAGGCATATCTGACCATGCATGATGCAATTGGGACTCAAGATTCGTCAGATCCTGTGGCTGTCGCAGCTGGCGACCTAGGTGGTCCCACACATGTTCGATTAACGATAAATCTGGAGATCGTGCAGGCCAAGGAAGTGTGGCAACGTTACGTAGGCATGCTTGGGAGACCGCTGCAGTGTGTGGCCGGGCATTATCCTGCTGGAATATGCCTGTCGGAAGCCCTGCCATGAGGGGCAACACATGTGGCTGGAGGATGTCTTGCACATATCGTTGGGCTGTGAGGGTAGTACGCATGACAACTAGAGGCGTCCTACTGTCGTATGTTATGGCTCCCCACACCATAACACTGGGGGTTGGACCCGTGTGCCGCTCCACAGTATAGGCCGGGTTGACACCTTGACCAGCAGGCCGCCATACTCTCACACGGCCATCGTGAGCCCCCAAACAAAAGCGGGATTCGTCACTGAAGACAATACGCTGCCAGTCGGTAGCTGTCCACGATTGTCG